TACCTTTTTTTGTACCCATGGGTTAAGAGCTCTCATGGTATTATGGCATCATGTAAGCTAGATAATTTATATTTAATTTAGTTTATAATATAATAAAATTTTTGGAATCATTTTAATTAAATAAAATATATGATATTTTAAATTAATTTAATATTTAATTAAATATTTTATATAAAAAAATATTTAAATATATTATTAGTTGAACCGGCCGGTTCTTAAGAAACGGACCGGTTCAACGGTCGGCCGGTTCAACCGGCGGTTCAAACCGGTTTTGACCGGTTTGTTGTCAGCCCGGTTCTTAGGGAAGACCGAACCGGCCATAAGACCGGTTCACGGTTGAACCGGTCGAACCGGCCGGTCCGGTCCGATTTTCAAAACCATGCAGTTTCAAGTACTCTTCAATCCCTGGATTTAGGATCATTTGGACTCAGATCGAGCTGAATTTCATGTCGTTGGGATCGTCTCCTTGCAACTCAATTTGACTATAAGTTTGCTGAAATAGGAGTTAGGATGGTCCCAAAATTAAATTTTTGGAGCCTCTGATTCAAATTTGCATTGAGATTCGTGCCCAATCAAGGTGATTTTTGATGACGTATTAGTTGCCCCCTATTTTTGGATGATGAACCTTGTAGAGTCCGAAAATATATATATTTTATACCTTTATGAGTTGCTTATGACTGATAATTATAATTATGAGGCTTGATATTCATTTTTAACTTTTATAACGATGCTAATTACTTGTGCTTTTTTTTTTTTTTACTTTTATTAAATTCCTAATAATTTAATTGTGGTACACACAAATGCAAATATTTGATAATGAATAAAAATTATGTTGGGATAGCCTAATATAGGAACTTTTATTACGTGTTACTCGATTTTTGTTTGGTATTTGGTCGGTATTGCTAGGTATTATTTGGTAATAACGAGAAATACCGCTATGTGAAGACTAATACCGAGTAATACTGAGCAATGCCGAGTAATCCCAGGAAATACCGAGTTTTTTCTAGAAAAAACTCGGTATTTCCTGGGATTACTCGGTATTGCTCGGCATTACTTGGTATTTTGTCTTCACATAATGGTATTTCTCGTTATTGTTGGTATTGCTCGGTATTTGCTCGGTATTTCTCGTTTTGTGCCTACGATCTTAGTGCCGGACGAACGTAGCTCTACGTACGTTCACCGGGCGTAAAAAAAGTTCCTAATATAAATTGTATGAGGATGAGTTTGAAATTTATTGGATTTACTTCGGAATAAGTGTTAAATGTGTAATACGTTCTTTTTACATGCAACACCAATCTCAAAGTAAATCCAAAATATTTCTTGCTCATTCTAATATAATTGTATCAACATAACATGATATAATATTTTTTAGCAATTATGTAATTCTTATTTTATTTGAATGGTGAGAATTTTCTAAATAATAAATGATATTGTATTACATTTAGTTCCCTGCACTCAATTTCTTGAAATTGTTGACGCTTTCAAATCGTCCGTCGTATCTTTTTCTTGGGGGGTTACAGTTACACCAATGAATGGGCCAAGCCCTCATTTTACCCAAAAAAAAAAAAAAAACACTTACACCAATAAATTTTAATAAAGCATATTTATAGATTACACACATATTGCATAATTATTATGCATTTATATATATCTAAATCTAACCATTAAATTTTGATATTTACACATTAATGTCTCACTCATATCAAAATATATATGCAAATATTTATTTTACTTAAAAATTAATCTTAATGTTATTTTTATTAGCGGTGTTAATATTTGACATGACCTGAAAATTTCGAGTTAGTTAATCCGTTTGAGAAAGGGGTCGGATTCAGAATTTCAACCCGTTTGTAAAAAAGCGTCGGGTTCAGGTTAACCTGAAAATGACTCGTAACCCACTTTAAAATATAAACGAAAAATAATGTCTTCTTTTCCGCTATCATGATTCAACGCGAACTCCTATTGTCCCGCAGTCGCGATTCAACGTCGCGTTAAGCCAACACTGTCATTTTTCCACCGGCTTCTCTTCCCCGCCATCTCTCTCTCTCCCACCGCCTAAAGCCGTTGGTCTGAAGACCAAACCCTAGCCTTAACCCGACACGACTTGCCTCTCCCTCTCCCGTCGCCTGAAGCCAACTCCACCTCTCCCTGTTCCCGACGCCGTCGCCTTTCCCTGCTCTCGATGACGCCACCGCCTCTCCGGCTCTCCCTGCTTCAAGTCGGCAAAAGATTTATGGGATTTGACTGAATAAGCGCGATGACAAACTTATGGTCAAGCCAGGTTGACCTGAATCTGAAGCAGGTCAGAATCGGGTCGAAAAAACTTGAACATTTTCAAAAATGCGAGTTCGGGTCGGTTCAGTTTCGGGTTGGACCCGAAATCGACCTGTGACCCAATTTTGACGGGCCTAATTTATATGCCGTTTAAAAAATTTAGTATTATATAAATACATATTAAAAAATTAAATATTAAAGATATAAATACAATAAAAATGATATAATATGCGTGTAAATCGCTTATATATATTTTCATGTAAACGAGCCCCCTTCAAGAAGAAGAAAGCGGCTAAATCTGGACCAGCCATTGATTAGCTGTAATCTGAAGCCTTTAATGGATGAAAATAAATACGAGCATTGAATTCCAGAAAGTTTGAATTCTATATCAGCTATAATGCTCAGTAAAGTTCGTACAGACCCGAAATCGAATCCGGCCGTTAAGAGTATGATCTGGAAAGAACAAAGCGAGATTTATAAAAGGTTAACGGACCGTTAAAGTGTGACGGAGCCGTTACAAGAGTAAGTGGGACGCTTTCGGTTCTCAAGGCCAATGGTGGGGTATTTTAGTCATATCGCGCAATGTGGTTTATCAGTGGGTTTTCCATTCATCAAAATTAAATCCCATGCGATTATTTTTTTCGCTTCAGCAAATCGCACAATTTTCTTTCTTGGTTTTTTTCCTTTTTAGAGAAAGGATTTTAGGTTTACGAATCACCACCTGCTGCTTATTTTTTTTTTACCGAGATTCGGTTTTATTTGTGAAGGAAGCCTTTGAAATCGAGAAGTCGCTCTCTCCTTAGCGAGATCGGTTTTATTGGCGGACATTGCTCCGCCTTAGCGCGGTTAGGGTTCTATTTGGGAAGATTTTTTTGCTGCAAGAATTCCGGATTCTTGTGGTGATTTAATGCTGTATGATTTCCACATTAAGGTCATTGCAGCTTCCAGTGGGTACATCGAGGGCTTGGCTTTGGGGACTGCTTGATCTGCGAGGTTGTGTGGATTGAAAGCTGGTGTTGCTGGAGATTTGAGCTGAAGATATATGCATTTTGTTCTTGGGGTTTTGTTGAGGTACTTCGATGGTCAGAATCGTGCTTTTATGTTTCCTACCTGTCACTTTCCTACTGATTCAGCAAAATGTGGCAAACGTGGGAATCTTCACATGAATGTTCTGTAAAGTGCAAGCCGACGGTCCCTTGACTGACGCTTTCTTCGCATCGCCATTTTCGTTCTTGTATTCCCAGTTAGAAGATCTTGAATATATTTTGTCCTAGATCTCTTTAGTTGGTTGGTTGAAGGGATCTAGGGCAAATTCAGTTTTACAGAAGCTTTGTGATCGTCATTGCTCTCGGAAATTATGGAAATTATTAGCCACATTCATCATATTGCTAGGAGTTTTACACTTGTTGTGCTTTTCTTAGCATGGAACTGTAAAGCTGAAACTCCCAGTGGTTATTCTAACGCAGCAAGACAATTGGATTTACTTCTTCAAGATTATGCATATCGTGCTTTTGACCGCCCACACACTGGAATCCCTTATGATGGTGCCGTCCCTTCTAATCTTACTGGCATCAAAGTAGCCGTGCTAAGGCTCAGGTGTGGAAGTTTGAGAACTAGAGGATTCCACCGCTACAAAGAGTTTGATATCCCTACCGGTGTAATTGTTCAACCCTATGTGAAAAGGCTTGCATTTGTCTACCAAAATTTGGGAAACTGGTCATCTTTCTATTATCCACTTCAGGGCTACACCTATCTTGCTCCAGTTCTAGGGCTTCTTGCTTATAGTGCTGCCAATTTATCTGCCATTGGTTTGTCTGAGCTTGATATCATGGCTTCAAGTTCACCCATATCGATCAAATTCAATGATGTGAACCCTGTACCAAGTGTAATCCCAGCAAAGTGTGTGAAGTTTCATTTAAATGGTACAATAGAGTTCACAGATCTTATCTCAGGCAATGTTTGCATGACATTTCGTCAGGGGCACTTCTCCATTGTGGTTAATTCTTCCGGGATTGTTCTGTCTCCTGCTCCAGCTCCTACACCTATCCCTAGTCATGGTAAAGGGCACAAATCCAAGGTTTGGAAGATTGTTGTTTCTGTAGTTGGTGGGCTTGTTGGATTGCTTTTGTTGATTTTGTTAGTAGCTTGGCTGGCATCATATAGAAAGAAAAAGAAGTTGGCGGAGATGCAAAGAAGGGAAGAAGTGGGTGAGGTTTTGCAGATGGGGCTAGTTGGGAACACCCGGATACCAGTTGCCCCGATGACCCGAACAAAGCCTGCTATTGAGAATGATTATGTGCCATGAGTTTTGATTAGTTGGTATTTGATGGTATGGAAAAACAGCCTGTGGGGTTTCTCTCATCAAAGGTATTTGAAGTGTACAGTCCTGAAGAGATGAAATTTGTTGTGTTCTTCAAGTGTTTGATATGGATTCAGTTCATTACTTGGCCCTCATTTGATATCAATATGTGCATTCTTCTAGGAGTTAGTCCATTTTCATAATTTGGTTGTTCCAGTCCTGATAAATGCATTGATGCTACCTTGTGGGATTCCGGATGCTCGATGGAAAAGATGTTTCCTTCAGTGATCAGGTTTGGAGCTTTTCATATCTTTTGTTTGGTTGTTGTATTAGGATGGCGTCAAATAAATAGCTGAGCTGTCTGATATTCATTTCACTCTAATTGTTGTATTTCTGATTTTCTTTCTATATCTTCAATAAGTTTCCATTGGTTGTACTTCCCTTGTTACTTTTTGGGTGTGCAAATTGTTGTTAACTGATAACACTTGCTGTCTTTTACTAGAACTGACACCCCCATGATTGAATGAAATGACAATATTGCTGCTTTAAGAAGCTTGATTGTGAAATCAACTCCTCCTGGCAGCAGTATTTTGACTTGATATATAACCTATATGCTTATCTAACAATAGCTAATGAAGTTCTTAAGAGTGTTATATATGCATTTATTAATCTTGTGGATTTCGATATAATATTAGCAAGTTTGATATGGTTTGCAAAATTAATTTGATCATGGGCAGATTTTCCTACAATTTTATAAATTTAAGAAATAATGAAAATTAAATTATAGTACTTAGAAAATTATTTCAGAAGCCATTCAAAGTTCAAACTCTTAATTCAGCAAATTCATAGTTGAGACAATGTGATTTGATGAGACGAATTCAATAAGACCAAATTCATGTAATTTCTAGCATGTTGGATCTTGAAACAACCGCACCCAAATCGAATCAATTTGAACTGGTTAATAGGGGGGTCAACCACCCTTCCTCATTCACACTCGAGTTAGTTCATGCAAGTTGGTTGATTCTGCGGAGGTCGACGCCTTTGGTCGTCGACCAAGAGACCAACCTATGGGTTGGTTGTGACCATTGTTGCACTCCTATCGCTTAGAGGATTCTAAATATTCTTTTAAATTGCAAAATGTGCTTTAAATTATGTGTGTGATTTGTTAGAAAAATTTGAAGGTCAAAATATATCAAAGTCATTGCAGCCTCTTTAGTCCACAAATTTATAAGTTCTTTGCAGCATTGGGTCACTGTTGTGAAGAACATTTTGCTTAAAAATGGTCGAAGTTTGTCATCATTTTTAAATGGCCCATAACTAGAATTAAAAATTTGTTGCAAGTATTGCGACTTCCACAGGTCTACAAAATATGTAAACCTTTGATACTCTTTGAATGCTCTCATCAAGGCAAACAAATTTGCTAGCAAAATTGCTGCCTAACCATTATAAAATTATATCTTACATATTTTTAAGATTATTCTGGATGATTTGATCATCATATTTTTGATTCATTAGTTTTGTACGTTGTGCTTGTGGGAGCTTCAAGGAGGTACCTTTTGTCTACAGATAAAATATTTCATTGCTTGTTGAAGCCATCAAATCATCATCATCGGTCGCTAGCATCGACCTTGGACTAGGCAAGCCCATTCCCACAGATGGAATTGTTCGATCGCTTTTTGAAAGGAGGGAATGATTTAGATCATCTTATTCAGGTCATTCATCTGGCAGATTTCAGTATAACTAGCGAAATGCTCAACCCAAAATTTTTAATTAATTGTATTTACACCCATTATGGGTATATTTCAACAAGGAGAAATCTTATATTTGTAGGATTATTTTTGAGCTTTGATCCCCATTTGGAGTTTCTAATCGATTATTTTTGTTATTATGTCAGATTGGGCTTATCTTCCATTTTCTAGGTCATTCGATCTTTTATGCGGATAAGAGAAGGGTTGCATCGATTGTATTTTTGCTTTTCGTTTGACATTGGGGTGTCAATAAATGACCCAACATCTCAACCCTGTATGAACATGACCTGAAAATTTTAGGTTTGAGTTGATCTATTTAGTAAACTAGTTTTATAGTTAATGAGTAATAAAAAAATTTAAGTCAAAATGGATTAACGGATCAGGTTCAGGTCATTTGGGTTGCTTGTAGGTCAAGTTCGGATTGATCTTTTTACTCGTTTATTAAACAAGTTGTGTTCTAGTTGACTGGATTCAGGCCGGGTCTATTTCACCTTGAACTCGAACTTAACCTCGAACTCAAGCCTGACCCATTGACTTGTTTTGACACCCCTATTCAATGCCTACTGCCAATCTACTCCAACGACCTTCTTGCACCTGACAGCAGATGAGTACTATTGTTGTTTGTTGTATGATTAATGAAATGAAGGACTTGAGTGGTTTTGGCTATATGACTGTGGCTCATTAGATTAGGTTGATAAAGAAATTGATCCCATCCCTGAAGAACTTGAATATGGTAAATAGTCCACCATGGTCGAGTGAGAAGAAATAAACCTTTGTACGAAAAGAAGATCCCATACCTACCTCAATAACTCTTTGATTCTAGTAAAGAAATATGATAGTTGAAATCTTGACTGCTCGACTAAAAAGATTGCTTCACCTTAAAATACTCTGAAATGCCAGGTTATTCATAGAGGGTTGATTCAAGGGCTTACAATCATTCCCAATGCGAAGTCAGTTAAACTGCCCTTAAGATGGATGCAAGTTGAAATCGAGTTGAATTGGGCAGGGGTGTCAATATTTGACACGGCACGAAAATCCGACTCGAACCCGACCTGATTTCAAAATGGGTTAGGTTCATGTTCTAGAATTTGACCCATTTCAAAATGGGTCAACTAGCCAACTTGTTGAAAATGAGCTGTCCGCACTGCCCCGGTTGCCCGCGCACCGCTCGCGGCTGCCCATGCCCTGCCCCCGCGACAGCGCTGGCAAACCCGCCGCCTGCTCCTGCCAGCGCACGTGACAGCGCCCGAGGCTGCCTGC